AGATCCCACATGCCACACAGTGTGGCAAAAAAAAAAAAAAATCTGTTGGAAAAATGGCACCAGTAGTCTTGCTTGACAAGAGTTGCCACAAACCTTCAGTTTGTAAAAAATGCAGTATCTGTGAAGTGCAATAAAACACGGTATGTGGTGTACCTGTTTGTATGTTTCATGTTACTAATCCATGAGTTCCTTTGCTTAAGCAATGGAATGTCTATTTCCTAGTACATAAAAATTTCTTAAATGATTTTCAAATGAACAAATAAATCTATCTGAGTGATAGATGATTTCAGTGGGCGGTGAACAATGCCAAATATTTTGTGAGTATTCCAGTAGTCAGTAGTATAACACTCATTTCTAACAAGCTGGTTACAATATCAAAATACGTCACCAAGGCTTAACTATCACATTAACAAATAGCACTTTGTCATTCCCCAGACTCTTCATGTGGCTATTTTTTTCTCATGTTGTTAACCTTCCTGTCCACCCCAGCTAAGACCTAGAGAAGTCTCATCAGTCCCATTCAAGACCTAAAGCCTTCACTTTTTCTCCTTTTGCAAGGATGCTCCTGATTTCAATCAGCTACTAGAAATGTCAGATGAAAAATGGCACAAATGTGAATTACGACAATAAAAGTTTATAAGCTACTAAAATAAAGTTATAGTACCTAAGAGCTGAGTCAACTGACAATGTTAAATGGAACATTTTACAACCAGTCCTGGGATAATGATAAAAAAAAAAAAAATGGCACACAGAACATGAAGAAATATCTGACAGGAGATGGGCTCAAGATCAAGCTCAGGCTCCATGAGTTTGTATGAGCACCTCTCAAGTGGGGCGCAAGAAGGGATAGCTTAATGCTTATGGGGGGGTACCCCCTCTGTGCCCAACCCTCAACATCTATTATCTCTTTTCCTTTTCGTAACAGCTCAGTGAGAGGGGGTACTGCTTCCATTTTTGAGAAGAGAAACCAATGCTGAAGCCATCCATTTGGGCAAATCCCCAACAATCAAACTATTAAATAATAGACTTCAAAAGTCTCTCTGATTCCAGCAATACTCTTTCTATATTATTTTATATATCTTTCTATAGGCAATGCTAGCTCTAAAGAGCGTACATAGACATGTAATCTCATATATAAAGCAAATTTAAGCTTCACAAAGAATCTGTCTCACCAACTTGATGCTAATGTTTGTTCCATGTAATCAATTATGGTTTTCTTGACCATGAAGCTCACCACGTAAATTAGCTACACAATCAAAGGCTTCCCTGGTGGCTCCCATGGTAAAGAATCTTCCTGCAATGCAGGAGACCCGGGTTCCATCCCTGAGTTGGGAAGATCCCCTAAAGAAGGAAAGGCAAAACTATGGAACTAGAATGAGATCAGCATTAGGAAGAAGGATGAACATTAAAAAGCATACTTTAGAAAGAATACTCCTATATATAAAATAGAAAACTAATAAAAACCTACCGCTATAGCACAGGGAACTGTACTCAATACTCTGTAATGGCCTGTATGGGAAGAGAATCTAAAAACAGAGTAGGTATATGCACATGTATAACTGATTCACTTTCCTGTTCAGCAGAAACTAAGAAACATATAGTTGTAAATCAACTATACCCCAATACAAATTTTAAAATAAAGAAGAAAGGAGTATTATCAGGAGTTTGACTAGGTGGTATGGTTCTCTTTCATTTTTAAAATAATTCCAGTCACAAAATATCTTGTGTTATTTGTAAATTTCCACTGCCTCTCTCTAACTTTTCTTACATCCTCCTGTCAGCCCCATGCACATGATCCCAGGGGACAGCGTTTCTCCTGTGTGCCCACCCCAGTACCCCCAATGATAACCCCACACCGGGCGCGTGTGTGAGTGCTCAGTCGCTCAGTTGTGTCGAACTCTTTGGGACCTTATGAACTATAGTCCGCCAGGCTCCTCTGTCCATGGGGTTCTCCAGGCAAGAATACTGGAGTAGGTTCCCAGGCCCTTCCTCCTCCGGGGAATCTTCCTGACCCAGGGATCAAACCCCTGTCTCCTGTATTGGCAGGCAGATTTTTTACCATTAGCGCCACCTAGGAAACCCTGATAGTTTGGTATTTGCTGTAATTGCACAATTTCTTAGAAATATTATGTTTTACCTTTAAAGATCTTACAAAATTTATATTCTTCTCCCTCATCTGACTTTGTTATGGAATAAAGATAGTCTTTTCAATTACTTATTATGGAGTAAAATTCATGCTCCAAGAAGAATTAATGTCATGTTAATTCTGAGGCTTTGCCTACTCTCTGCAAACTCCTCTTACTGTAGCCAGAGAAACACGGTGATAAAATGGTATAATCGCATGACATGCAAAGTGCTGATGTGAAATGAAAAGGACAGAAATATGATTGGGATATTAATTCAGGAGAAATAAAGAAATGGGACTGTTTGAATAGGCTTAGCAGGATGGTTTAGTTCTTCCTGAAAATAAGTGTGATGCTATCTCAACTTACCTTGACCTCTACCCTGACTCCCCCATTCAGGTGTAGTCAAATGTTTAGTTTCTAAACACACACACACATTAAGAGGGTTACAAAATACCCAATAGACAGACACAGACATTCAGTGAAATTTCTCCTAAATATCAGATAAAGGCAGCATGCCAATATAGCAATAAAACCATAAATTTCTATTGTAATGGAACACAAATTAATAAAATGGGGAAGTAGAACTTAGAAAATAGCTTTAAAACTCAATACCAGATTTCATTATAGGTCCTAGACTATAATGGACACAAGATAATTTTCATGGTTGATCCATAATAATAGTCATTGGGAAGTTAAATGGCAGAAGAGCAGCAGCTTTAAGTGGGAAATGGCACAATTCTTCACAGCTGTCATGCTTGTGCACTTGCTGACTATCAACCTTGAACAAAGCATTTAATTCAAACCCCATTTAAAAGTATATACTGTCAAGAGAGAAGCCAAAAACCATACACTAGTTAAGCAAGCAACCTATAACCCATGTGCCAGAGATGACACTAAAGATCAAGTCAGCTGGAACATAGACAGATTGCTCACAACCCAAAGTAGGAGCTGACTATTCAGAGATCATCTCTTCCTGCTCTCATAATGCATAACATTTTGTGGGGTGGCCACCTGATGGGAAGAACTGACTCACTGGAAAAGACCCTGATGCTGGGAAAGATTGAAGGCAGGAGGAGAAGGGGACAACAGAGGATGAGATGGTTGGATGGCATCACTGACTCGATGGACATGAGTTTGAGCAAGTTCCAGGAGTTGGTGATGGACAGGGAAGTCTGGTGTGCTGCAGTCTGTGGAGTCACAAATAGTTGAAAGTGACTGAGTGACTGAACTGAACTGAACAGACTATTTTGCCCATTCAGAACTGCGATTGAATTTAAATTCTCTCTCTGAAGATAGATTTTGCCTTTTAAGTAATCTTTTAAACTTCCATAATGCTATATATCTGTGATATATTATTAATACTAAGATCCTACTGCTGTTTTTAAAAGTAGTGCATAAAAATAAGTGCTACATGTATAATGTATATGATAGAATGATCGTATTTCATAGAATATATTCAATATTAAATTTCAACACCCACTGAAGAAAAACTGAGTGTGTGTGTAAGTCATAGTGATAATATGGATATAGACATATAGATTTAGGTATGAAAAGAGAGTGCTAGCAAAGAGCCAAAGCAAAAAATCACAACTTAAGAGCATAGTAAAAGCAATGACCTTGAAACCTAATTAATTTCCTCTATACTCAGTTTGGGGCTTCCCAGATGATGCTAGTGGTAAAGAACCCGCCTGCCAGTGCAGGAGATATAAGAGATGTGGGTTTGTTCCCTGCATCGGGAAGATCCCCTGGAGAAGGAAATGGCAATCCACTCCAGTATTCTCGCCTGGAGAATTCCGTGTATCCGTCAGATACAGCCTGACTCTGCAATCCCATGGACTGTAGTCCGCCAGGCTCCTCTGTCCATGGAGTTACACAGAGTCAAACATGACTGAAGCAACTTAGCACAGCACAGCACATACTCAGGTTGACATCAAAAAGGAGGTGAAGACTCCTTACTTAAGGGTATTAAATTGAGGAATTCTCATCAGGTTAAAAGAAAATCTTCACATGAACCACAGACTGCGATATGGTCTGTGGTATTATAATAAGGTAACACTGGATTTATTTTATCTCAGTTATCAAAATAAAGTAACATCTGGTATCTGCATGTATTATCTCACTAACCTTACACTGGGCTTCCCTGGTAGCTTAGCTGGTAAAGAATCTTCCTGCAATGCAGGAGATCCCAGTTCGGTCCCCAGGTCGGGAAGATCCCCTGGAGAAGAGCTAGTCTACCCACTCCAGTATTCTTGGGTTTCTCTGCTGGCTCAGACAGTAAAGAATCCACCAGCAATGCAGGAGACCTGGGTTCAATCCCTGGGTTGGAAAGATCCCCTGGAGAAGGGAATGGCTATCCCCTCCAGTATTCTTGGCTGAAGAAGTCCATCAGCAGAGGAGCAGGCTACAGTCCACGGGATCACAGAGTCAGACACAACTGAGTGAGTTTCACATTCACAACCTTACAATTAGCAAATGCAATGGGCTATCTGGTGATGACAAATATTTTTCATACTTTCAATGTACTTTACCAAACAATCCCTATGGGGGTGCCAAGCACTGTTCTATATATTAAACATAAAAGAATGAATAAAAAATGTGATTCTTGCAAATTAGAAGCATAATCAGGTTCTTCTGATACCTATATTGTGCTATCCAAATCAAGTTTTTTGACCTTCAAAACATTTGGCGTGCTGTGCTTATTATTTTACTGTTAATTACAGAATTAAATGAATTTTAACTCTGAGTTTCAGATGTGCTTTTTTGCTCTGTAGACACTATTCAAGCGAATAAAAGTCTATGAATTGTGGAATGATAAAATATTCACAGAAACTTACAACTCTGCAGTTGAATAACAATTACATTTGTTCCAAACAGGCAATTGGTTTCCAAACACATTAAACAAAGGCAATTTAGAAAACTTCTTCTTCTTCTTGGCATCATTAACATTGTTGAACGTCCTGGGATTCTGGAGTGTTTCGCAAAGGTAAGTAAGTGTGTGGTAAGATGAACAATTTCTGAGTCCATGAAATATTGATCTGGGAGCCATCACTGAGCCAATGGGAATCTTGTATTCCATGACTGGACAAATTAGCATATTAGAGAAACTTAACAGATATTCAGAGCAAGAAATTTCCATTTAGACTTCACTTTTCCATCAGTCCTTATAATAAAAAAGTTCTTCGCTCAGTTCTAAACCAAGATATTTTTCCTCCAACATACAGTGCCATTTTAGAATTAGAAATAACCATATCGATAGTAAGAATGAATGAGTCATCATCATTAAAAGCAAATATCATTAAACAAATAGCTAGAAATCTAATGAGGCTTAAGATTTGGATTCCATTCAGGCCTTTAAATCAGCAGTGACCATTTCAAGGTCAATAACAAACCGTGCAAAATCATTTAGCCAGTCACCTGAGACCATTCAAGTGGCTTAATATGTATCATCTACCATCCATCCATTGCCAGCCCATCTCTCTCTCTCAGTGATGTCTTCTTGGATGGCTGTGTGCTTTTGATCAAAGTGCCTCACCTCTCTGAGCCTCTGTCTTCACACACGTAAAATAAGGACAATAATTCCAACCTTTCGTGGGCTTTTTGGGGAGATGAATTCTGATAAAAGACCAAGCACAATGTCTGCCATGTTGCAGGAACTAAATATGTCTTTATTTTATTCACTTCTTTCCGTTCATTTATCTATTAAGTCATTTAGTCTCTGATCTAGTGCCACTTATTCCTTGCCTGGATCATTCTTTTATTCCTCTAATAAATCTCTTTTGGAACATCAGTCACAGGATGTGGTAAATTAGAAGGACATGAAATCAGTACCAGTCAATGTTCAGTGCCACCTATGCCCTCGCTATCATGGGGCCTATGGTCCAGCATAAGAGAAGCACTGAGACCTCATGCGAGACAGAATTAATGACAACAATCAAAAAACAAACAAAAAATTAGAAGTTTAAGGGCTTCCTGACTTTTAAAATTTCTTACCTTTCAAAGTGTATGTTATCAAAGTGACCCTCCATACCGTAAAATCTCCTTAAAAGTGCCTGCCTGGTTCTTAGATGGATCACCACATTAAAAAGTCAGATTCTTGCAGAAGGATTCAACCACAATGTCCCCACCTTTGCGGTAAAACAGAGTCGGCAATAAAAACTGAAACTGAAGGCAAGGCTTCTTTCCCCTCTGGCCACTGCCTCCAAACACATGAGTGTCACCCATTAGCTAATTCTCACAAACTTGTGTTGTTTCTCAATTTCATGTACTCTCCCACTGTAAGATTGGATCCTGTGTTTCAAAAAGTAGTTTGGGTCATTTGTCGAGACGTGCATGGACCTCGAGTTTGTCATAGAGAGTGAAGGAAATCAGAAAGAGAAACAAAATCGTATCTTAACACATAAATGTGGAATCTAGAAAAACAGTAGCGGTGAACCTATTTGCAGGACAAGAATAGAGACAGACATAGGGAATGGACGCGTAGACACACAGTGAGGAAGGCAAGGGCAGGCTGAATTGGGAGAATGCAGTTTACATATATACACCACCGTGTGTAGATAGATAGCCAGTGGGAACCTACTGGATAGCCCAGAGAGCTCAGCTCGGTGCTCTGCGATGACCTAGGGGGGTGGGATGGGCGGGGGTGGGAGTGGACATATATATATATATATATATATATATATATATATATATATACACACATATAGTTGATTCACTTTTTTGTACCACAGAAACTAATGCAACATTGTAAAGCAACTATACCTTAATTAAAAATATATATATATCAATAGTTGGGAAAAAAAGCAATCTTTAGAGGCAGCCCAGTTGAATCCAGGCCCACAACTTAGCTGCACAAACCTCAGCAAGTTACTTAACCTTGCTAAGCTTCAGTTTCTTCTTTGTCAAAAGGAAACCATAAGAATGGTAACTGTGCCATAAGATTATTGGGAGGATAAGTAAATACTCAAAAATATTAGCAATAATAATAATGGCCTCGTGTGTTGCTTTATGCTCCCTTCGTCCTCCTGTTTATTTTTCACCTAGACTCATGCTGAGCTATGGCCAAGATGACCATGATTATGGGCTAAATTCAGGTAGCACTAGCACAGGAACCAAAAATTTATTAGCTCTGGGACTGACTCACACATTTATTCATTCATCCATTCATTCAACCAATGTGTTAAGCATTGTTCCAAGCTCTTGAAAAATAAAATTGAAGAAAGCCAAGTGCTGGTCTACATGGAGCTAGTATCTAGCACTCAGAATATTTAAGTGTGATTATTCTTCTGTGATTGTTGAACAAGTGAGTTACTATAAAGTGAGAGATGCTAGAGCGGGGTTCAGAGAAGGAGGCAGGAATAAAAATATACAAAGCACCAGAGATTGGAGGAACCAGAGATGAAAAGGACTAAGAGATAATGTAGGCAGGGCTTGTGCATGTGTGCTAAGTCAGTTCAGTCGTGTCTGACTCTTTGCAACACTGTGGCCTATAGCCCGCTCGGCTCCTCTGTCCGTGGGGTTCTCCAAGCAAGAATACTGGAGTGGGTTGCCATACCCTCCTCCAGGGGATCTTCCCGACCCAGGCATGTCTCCTGTGGCTCCTACACTGCAGGTAGAGTCTTTACCTCTGAGCCATCGAGGAAGCCCCAATGTAGGGCTTGTTTAGAAAGAAATCGGATCCTTACAAAATCTTCTCCATCTCCTGTATGCTTCCTTTCATCTTGCATCCTTTATGAGGGAAAGAAACATAGAGAGGATGGAACAAAATAGGGTGAGAAGAAATTAATTTTCCGTATGTTGAGCATTTCTGTCTTAAGCAGCATGTTTGTCCACCTCTCTGATCTTATCACTCTATACATGAGAACTGTGGTGCTGGAAAAGACTCTTGAGAGTCCCTTGGACTGCAAGATCAAACCAGTCAATCCTAAATGAAATCAACCCTGAATATTCATTGGAAGGACTGATGCTAAAGCTGAAACTCCAATACTTTGGCCACCTGATGTGAAGAAGAGACTCATTGGAAAAGATCCTGATGCTGGGAAAGATTAAAGGCAGGAGGAGAAGGGGACGACAGAGGATGAGGTGGTTGGATGGCATCACTGACTCGATGGACCTAAGTTTGAGCAAGCTCTGAGAGTTGGTGATGGACAGGGAAGCCTGGTGTGCTGCAGTCCATGGGGTCACAAAGAGTGACTGGGTGTCAGTCTACGGACATGACTGAGTGACTGAACTAACTGAATACATGAGAACACTGAAGTGAAAACCTAGTTGAGTAAATTGTGCTGCTTCTAAGGGCCATGGAGGAGCCCTCTTCCTGCTCTGATGACCCCTTAACTCTGTAGGGATGGAAACCATCCCTTCAGCTCAAGTAACTGTACTCGGCACCACCTGTTGATCAGCCTCCACAAGAAAAGAATGTCTGTCCCATTTCAGAAGAAAGGAGAGTCTGAAAAATTTTCCCATAGAGATTAAATAGCTAGAACCAACTACAGTAGTTCAAAGGAACTCACTGCCTTGGGTATCTATTCCCAGTTGGGATTGGAGAGGCCAAACCAAAACCATTAAGTGAGAAACTGCATGGAATCTAAGTGATTAGATCAGTGTCTGCAGTGAGAAGTGCAGGATTCCAGCTTATTTCTACACTGATTGCTTTAGTCAAACACTGACAAATAATAAAGGGCTTCCCTGGTGGGTCAGTAATAAAGAACCTGCCTGCCAAACAGGAGATGAGGGTTCAATCCCTGGGTCAGGAAGATCCCTTGGAGTAGGAAATGGCAACCTACTCTAATATTCTTGCCTGGACAATCCTGTGGACAGAGGAGCCTGGTGGGCTACACTTCACTGGGTCGCAAATGGTTCAGACACGACTTAGCAACTAAACAACAACAAACAATAAGGATGGAAACAGGAGAAAACAGATGTCCCAGGGATAGCATTATTAAAACGTTATTATTTATGAGACAGATGATGTTTTATCTCAGTACCCTTCTAAACACAATCCAGTTCTTACCAAACCCAAAGGTATATCTTTTCAGAGCCAGATACTGGTGATAAATCTATCAATGTCAGTCACAAGTATCAAGGAGAGTCCCAAGTTATTCTTGTCCTAAAGATCCTGAGGCCAGTGGATTAATGATGAAATAGTACCCTCACTAATATATAAGTGGAATTGGGTCTGTGTTAGCATCCAAGGGCACCCCACCATCAAGTTTATATTACTGTGCTACAATCCTGGTGTAAGTCCTAGAACCAAACTAATCTTGTTGAGGTCAGTGGAAAATCACTTAACTGGGTATGTTGCTGTTTAGTCACTAAGTTGTGTCCAACTCTTTTGCAATTCCATGGACTGTCGCCCACCAGGTTCCTTCGTCTGTGGGATTTCCCAGGTAAGAATATTGGAGTGGGTTGCTATTTCCCTCTCCAGAGGATCTTCCCAACCCAAGGAGATCGAACTTGTATCTTCTGCAATAGCAGGGGAATTCTTTACTTCTGAAACACCAGAGAAGCCCTAGCTAAGTATAGTTAGGAATATTCCAGAATGTCAAGAGAGAAGGCAATGGCACCCCACTCCAGTACTCTTGCCTGGAAAATCCCATGGACGGAGGAGCCTGGTAGGCTGCAGTCCATGGGGTCGCTAAGAGTTGGACACGACTGAGCGACTTCCCTTTCACTTTTCACTTTCATGCGTTGGAGAAGGAAATGGCAACCCACTCCAGTGTTCTTGCCTGGAGAATCCCAGGGACGGGGGAGCCTGGTGGACTTCCATCTATGGGGTCGCACAGAGTTGGACACGACTGAAGCAACTTAGCAGCAGAAGCAGCAGCAGAATGTCAGACCAGGTGTACCTTCCATTTCTAAGAAGAAACAAAAGCTGACAGTCCCCTGCTTCTGTCTGTATTAGAGTCCTCCTCAATCATATCTGAAATAGGGCCCTGGTGACATGACGCACCTGAGGCTCTCCAGGTTGGGGATGAAGGAAGTAGGTGGATGAAATGTTTTTCCTTGCTGGAAAGTATTTTACGAATATCTCTATACACCTTAATACAAATATGCATCCTCCATCAGATGCTAAGATATTAATAAAAGGATATTATAGATGTTTATTGGGCTTCCCAGGTGGCACTAGTGGTAAAGAACTCCCCTGCCAATGCAGGAGACATAAGAGACATAGGTTCCATCCCTGGGTAGGGAAGATCCCCTGGAGGAGGACATGGCAACCCACTCCAGTATTCTTGCCTGGAGAATCCCATGGACAGAGGAGCCTGGCGGGCTACAGTCCATGGGGTCGAAGAGTTGGACATGACTGAACCGACTTAGCATGTGTGTTTATAGCGGTTGGAGAATAGAAGGGTATTTATTACTACAGCTTGACACCATCATCCCTCCAATACTGTAAAACACATGACGTTAATATCATTGTGCTTAATTTGTTAATGATGCCAGTAATCTTTTGTACATAACCTGTAACAATTAGCCAAAGAGACCTAAATCAGAGACAAAGGACCAGTTATTCAAAGCATATCCTTTTCTTACAGATATTTTTAGCAATGTTGAGAAGGGAAAAAAGGCAAAGTTAACATCAGAAACCTTCGCAAATTTAAAAAAAAAAAAAAAAAGCCTAACTGCGGAGACTTATGTGTCTTTGATAAAATTGAACTTATGGTTCTTATTCATTTGTTCATTCAACCAATATTTACTGGACATCTGCTATGTACCCTAGAGAAGGAAATGGCAACCCATTCCAGTATTCTTGCCTGGGAAACCCCATAGACAGGAGCCTGGCTGGCTATGGTCCATGGATTCACAAAAGGATCGAGCATGACTTAGCGACTAAACAACAACATGTACCAGGCACTGGTCAAAGCAGTAGGCATACAGCAGTGAATAAAACAGCCTGAAATTCCTCTCCTCCTGGAGCGTCTTCAAAATGTTTAGGAAACAATTTGTCTCTGAAGGCAGCATGCTATAGAGGAACGCGATCAGGACTCAGAGAGTTCTGGTTTCAAACCCAAGCTCTGTCAACTATTACTCATGTGAACCTAAACAAGTTATGCAACCTCTTAAAACATTAACCTTTTTGCCTGTGAAATGGGAATGGTTCCATCCTCCCCAAGTTGTAGGGAGAATTTGGTAAGTTAGGGTGAGTACTGGGCCCTGGCTTGCTGTCTGGCATTTAGAAGATGGGGAATCCAGATTTTGTGTAAGTCAGGGATAAGGGGACACATTTTAGAAACACATTTGTGGATTTCTTCTTTGACAGTGGTGTTTTCCACACATTCTCAGCACTGAATCTAGAAACCCCTAGTGCATCTGACCACTCTAAAGTGGCGCTGGTGGTAAAGAACCCACCTGCCAATGCAGGAGACATAAGAGACATGAGTTCGATCCCTGGGTCAGGAAGATCCCCTGGAGAAGGAAATGGCAAACCCACTCCAGGATTCTTGCCTGAGAAATCTCATGAACAGATGAGCCTAGCGGACTACAGACCATAAGGCTGCAGAGAGTCGGACACGACTGAAGTGATTTAACACACACAGTACATCTGATAAATCTTCCCAGTCCTGCCACCATTAAATCTACAAAGTTGATAATTCCAGACTTTAATGTTTCTCACCATCAGACTCATGGCAGACTGTAAAACAGCACCATCTAAAGGTCCTTGTGAGACACCTTCACATGTCCTAAAACTCCCTATGTCATTTTATCCAGACTCTTCAGGGGAGCAGGGCTCTTAAATAATCATCACCGTTGTGCCAGTATCTGTGGGACTGTAATAAAAGGGAGGCAAGCACAGCGAGAAAGCAAATGATTTATCAAGTCATCTACATCTGGCCTTAAAAAAAACCTTTCTTTCTTTCTTTTTTAGGTATTGTAATTTAAATCATTTTAATGCTCAGAACACCAGTGGAAGTAATCTCGAAGAAACCCTTTCCCTCCAGGAGAAGTCTCTGAAATTTTATGGCAGTACACAGGAATTTTCTTCGAGTATTGATCTTTGGGAAACAGCCCTGTGAAACTGTTCGACCCAACCCATCATATGAGCAGAGAATTCACTGTTTTCTTCAGCTGGATGCTATGCCTGTTAGTTTAAGAGCTAATATGTATTAGTATGAGAGTGGCCTTATGAACATCATCTGTGTACTTTAATGATTCAGCCGTTTAAAGCAGTGTATATGACACTTGTTAGTTGTCATAGTTTTAAGTTCTTAGAATTGAAATAATAGTATGTCTGTATTCTTCCTTTCAGTACATTTATTGAGCACTTATTATATGCCAGGCATAATAATCATACACAGTTTATGTCAAAGCAAATTAATAAACCTAAACACAAATAACCTGTATCTTATACATAAGTAATAAGCCTATATAGTTTTACTGTACTTCATCTTTCTATTACACTATCAAGTTATGAGTGAAGGAAATTTTGTCTGAATTAAACAGCAGCATTACAGGGTCCAGTGATTAAGACTTTGCCTTCCATTGCAGGGGGTGCAGGTTTGATCCCTGGTTGAGGAGATAAGTAAGATCCCAGCCACAGCCAAAAAGCTAAAACACAAGCAATATGGTAACAAATTTAATAAAGACTTTAAAAAAATGATCCACATTAAAAAAAAATCTTAAAAAAAATTATTTTTTAAAAATGCATTACTAAAATAGAGGTCCTTAACCCAAAAGTGAATATTCACATACTGAAGAAATTGTGAAATAAATACAAGTGGTGGAATTATTGAGATTAAAGGAAAGAAGAAAATTAAGGAGGTTAAATAAGTGTTGGGGGAAGAGCAAGTGCTGAAATCAAAGAGACGCTTAAAGAGATTCCCTAACCTGGTCTTCACTGGTACCAGTTCAGATGCATTCAGGAAACTGTTTTCCAAAAGAGGTTTTACCAGTATAAGCAAATAAATGTGAAGAAATTCATTTTTAAAAAAAATCAAATACAACTAGGTTTCCAAATCTTTGTAATAGTACTTATCAAGGTTTTGCTGAAGACCCCCAGTTTCAGGCAGATCTTTCTGGCCCCAACCACAGACTGCTTTAAGGCAAAACTTTTCCCAGGAATTGGCAGTTCTAACAAACCCACCCAAACCATTTTTATGCTTTCTAAAATCTGAGCACCACTCTTTTCTGGGACAGTTCAAGCTGGATAGGAGAGGTAGGTTTTATCAGTTGATTGGAAATGATTCTGCAATTGAAGCACCTCCCTTGTGTATATCTAAAATATTTTAGATCTGCAGAATAAAAGATTTATACATCTTGATGAGGTGTGATATGCATTTTTAATTGCAAAAGAGCAGCTATAAAGCGCCAGGTGTTTCTCTTACTCAAACTATTTTTCATTTGTTTGTTCTGAGGACAGTGAAAAGACAAACCCTTACAGACAAAAATTCTTGCCCTGTAACTTTTTCGAATCCTATTTTTTTGGCATTTGTTCTCTGATGAAGCAGTGAGGCCGATCCCTGATCTGCCTTAGAATCTTTCTTTGTTGTAAACGGTTAAATGCTGAGTTTGTGATTTGGGTTTAATCAATGCTCCAAAAATCAAAAAACCTTTAAACACACCTCATCTCAGAACAAGTCAGAAGCTCCAACAGTCCCTCTCACTGTTAGAAATAAGGTCTGCTTTATTTTGTTGTCCACCCCCGCTCCAAATTTGCCTTTGTCTCCCTAATTTCTACATCATGATAGGAAGAAGTGCTCATTATGCTTTCACTCATCATTAGAGATGAAAAAAGATCTACAGAATTATAAAGATGACCCCAAGCAAACACAAAAAGAGCTTAGAATTCTCACACTGAGGATGACACTCGTGATTAGCTAAATTGCAGGGACTACACACACTTGCATTGGAAACAGGCGGCATTCACACACTAGTTTCTTGTCTAGTGCTTAGCAACATTATCGCTGAGCACCTGGAATAGTTTAGGCATTAAGTGTAATTGGTTTTGCTTTACATAAATCTATAGCTTTGTAAATAAGCAGAGCATTTCAGCTTCTCTATAACACCAATTAACTTAAAGGGATGTGTTGTTTGCAGAAGCCTGCTGGGTTCGGTACAGTATTTCTCCAGTAATATGCTCAGTGGCAGGCAGAGTTCTGTGTCCCTGCAGTGTTGCATTGACTCCCAGTCACTTGTTGCCAAGGGTCTGAACCCAGGCACTTGCTTGCTCCATTTTTCAGTTGTAAAAGATCGGGAAGATGAAGTGTTTCCTAAGAATCACCTTCTGTGCTCTATTTCTGTCCACCACCGAGACCTGAAAGGTGAGGTACTTGAAAATGTTTTCTGTGACCTGCGGAGCACACATCTGACACCAGCTGACTCTGTCCACAGCTGACAGCTACATCTCTTTCCTCTTTCTTTTCTTCTTGTAGCACTTCAATCCACTGCAGCCAAAAGTCCCTGCATTGAACGATATACGAAATTAAGAAAACCACGTTCTCATGATGCGAAAATCTGCCAGTGAAAATGTTCCCATCAGTGACTTTTTAAATAACACTTAGAAATCTGCTTCTGGAAGCTGGTAAATTTTTTAAGCTTCTTGGATATTTCCTCTCATTGTCTCTCTCTTTTTTTATTAATTAATTGTTAATTAATTAATCAATCAGGTATTAGTTGCTTCACCCGTGATGTTTTTAGTTGCATCATGCCAGATTTTTAGCTGGGGTATGTGGAGTCTAGTTGCCCTGCCAGGGATTGAACCTGGGCCCCCTAAGTCTTAGCCACTGGACTACCAGGGAAGTCCCTCCCCTCATTATCTCTTGGGCTCAGCTTAATCCTTTCTCATATACCTTTCAGGTAATCTTGATTTATAACATTCATTCCACCCTGGCCAAAATCTAATTCTCTTGGTTTTTGAAAGCGTTTTATCGACTATCAGAGTAACAGTATCACCAAAAAACAGCTCATGATTCCATAATGCTTCCTATTAATATTACATGATTTACAAATTGAAGGAGGGAGACAACTAAAAACCACAGGATCCCTTTGCTGTATGACAAAAGAGCTTCAGCCTTAGCATCTTGAACCAGTCCAGTGGTGGGGATAGCCCATCACTACTGCTAGAAAAGCCGACATACAATCACCAGCCACAGACTTATAAATAAGGTCCTTAAATGAAATCCACAGCTGAGTGATGACAGCACGCAGGTGCTGCTAACATTCAGGTCTGCTTGTAGAGAGCAGGGAAATTAGAGGAACCACTCATAACAACAACTCATATCTGTGTCACCCTTTATAGTTTACAAGCTGCTGTCACATGTATCATCACATTTGGTTGGCACCACCCTGGGAAGTAGACACATTTTGGCAAGCCCATTTCGTACGGGAGACATTGCAGCTCTGAGACAGAGTGAATAATCGAGAGTCCCAGAGATAGTGGATGTCTCAAGACGTTCATTTGGTCTGTCTGTTTTTAAAGTGCCAGCCCTTTCTACAAAAGACACTCATAAATAGTCACCAACACCAGATGATTCCCAGCCGCTTGGGTGAAACACTCTCCACATCATCCCAAAGGGAACAAAAATGAAAGGAAAGACCACATGGGGGTTTGCTGTTGTTTAGTCGCAAGTCGTGTCCAACTCTTTTGTGACCCCGTAGACTGTAGCCCGCCAGACTCCTCCATCTATGGCATTTTCCAGGCAGGAATACTGGATTGTGTTGCCATTTCCTTCTCCAGGGGATCTCCCTTACCCAGGGATTGAACTCATGTCTCCTGTATGGGCAGACAGATTCTTTACCATGGAGCCACCTGGAAAGCCCCACTGGGGTTAGAGGCCCTGACAGAATGGTTACCCGGAACAGTATTGTTCTAACATCTCTTCCCCAGCCCTCAGCTCCCTCTATGGAGCCAGCCACTGTCCTTGTGCGGATCTTAGGCTTTCAGGAGCACTGCACTGAAAAGACGACCCCAGACTGGCCACCCTGGGGTTGGGAAAGAGGGTCTTGGGCTCAAAAGCATCCTTTCCTTCCCCTTGCAACCAAATGCCCTCAGATGTGCTATAGTCAATTCCAAACTGCCTTTGGAAAGAACAGGTTAAGGAAAGCAAATTTACCCTCCAATATATTATTAATAATGGTGAAGACTCCTGTAGTACTGCTAAATACAAGGCTCTGTTGTGTTTTTTAAAAATATTAGCTCATTTAATCATCAGCTTCCCAGGTAGCATTAGTGGTAAAGAACCTACCTGCCAATGCAGGAGAAATAAGAGAGGTGGGTTTGATCCCTAGGTTGGGAAGATCCCCTGGAGGAGGGCATGGCAACCCATTCCATTATTCCTGCCCGGAGAATCTTGTGGACAGAGAAGCCTAGAAGGCTTCCATCCAAAGGATCACGAAGAATCAGACAGGACTGAAGTAACTGAGGATGTGCACAAGCATTTGGTCATCACAATAAATACTCTATAAGTACAATTACCTCTATAAGTACAACAGTAAATCCCATTTTACAGATACAAAACATGAAACAGAGGAGTTAATAACTTTACAGAGGTTGTACAAGCAGCATGGACAGAGTAGAAATCTGGATCTACAGAGTCTGATTACAAATTCCAGGGGCAAGCCCTTTATATGAAACTGCCCCTCAGTAGAGCTGTTGCCTACAGTAGATTTTTATATATTCTAAGGGCAATTCCAGGGAAGACAGTGCCTTGGCCCAAGGCACATCAGTATCCTCTGTCCCAGCACAAAAGAACAGGACTTCTTCCATCAGTAATTGTTGGATGCAAACAATATCAACTCTTAGTAACCCCAGGGACTGCCCCTCCGTCTCTTTTGTGAATAATTATTGTTCTTCCACTTAAACCCAAATGTTTGACTCTAAGGCCAGAATTTCGAGCTCTGTGGCAATCGCTGTAGGGGTCCTTTTGTGGTGTTCCTTGGTTTATAACATAAGCTGTCGGTTCCTCAATTGACAGTCATTGTTAGATCAAGATGGAACCTTAGGCCAACTAGTCTCCACTTTCTTAGCCTCTACACGGACATTCCCGGGATTCCTCCAGTGAATTTAGTAAAAGTGTCA